ATAAAATAAATAAGATGACATACGGCATAATGTAAATAGTATGATGATGAATACAGAATCAAATCATGCTAAATGAAGTTAAGATAGTGAATTTAAATGGAACGCAAGTTTGGAGGGATCCATGAAGGTTGGTTCATAAGGTTGGTAGATAAACCCTAACATATAATCACAGGCACGTGTCTGTAACACACGTACACTTAACGTATGCCACGAGTTTCAAAGACATATCTAGGACCCGGAACACAATACCAAAACGCATGATTTTTCTTAAATAATTCTAGGTGATCTCTCGGTACAGAAAAGCAAGAAAACACAAGAAAACAAAACATTGAAGATGAGCGTAGTCTTAGAACAGGGAATCATTGTCAAAACTGAACCCATTTTGTTTAACTTGGGAAGAAGCAGAGAGCTTATAAAGGTTCAAGTAAACTCCTTTCCGAACGCTTTCCTTCGGGTTATAGAACAGCTGGAGGAGAATTACAGGTTCCGTCGCCTTCACAGCAGATAAGCAGCGTAACTTCCTGCTCATGCAGAAGATGTTTATCATGATGCTTTACACTGGAGACAAAAATGTTTATTTTGTTCACTAATAGGCAATAAATATTTTCAGACAGAAAATATAACTGATTGCATGAGTTTTGGGTGTAATATATATACATATATATATATATATATATATATATATATATATATATATATATAAATATATATATAATATATATACATATTATATATATACATATATATATATATATATAATATATATATATATATATAATATATAAATATGTAATATATATATATAATATATATAATATTATATATATATATATATAATACATATGTATATATTATATATTATATATATATATATATATATATATTATATATATATATATATATATGTATATAGTATATATATATATATAGAGAGAGAGAGAGAGAGAGAGAGAGAGAGAGAGAGAGAATTTATATATGTGCACTACACACATAATCATACACACACACATGTATGTGTGCGTGTATAGAAAGAGGCAGAAAGAACAAAAAAGAGAAAGAGAGATGTAGACAGATAGTGAAATAGATAGATAGTGAGAATGAGACACCTGCCCATAATCAAAAGCTGAATTGTTATCTTTATGTTCATATGAATTCAGTCAAATTAAACCCAGCTTCTTTTGGTCTCAGGCAAATCTCTCAGAGCCTCGTAATTCCACGCTATCAGCCAGAGATATTAAGTTCGATATCTTTCGTTCCCAGTGTCGCTCCAAGTCATCATGCATCGTCGTTTCTGCGTATAAAAGAGCACTATGCTTCCGAAGTCAAAAGCAGCCAAGACCTCTCGCTACATCATGAGGGCGCCTGTGCTGTTAATGCTCTTCGTGGGAAGCGCCCTCGGGAAGTGTAAGGTTTATACTTTCTTGTTAACAATAGCAGAGCCCGTACACAATTGGCAGTAATTAAGAATCTCTTATTCACTTCCTCTTCAAATCAACCAGTCCGAAACCATGTTGAATAATGATTTGTTATTCACTTCCTCTCCACATCAGCCAGTCCCAAATCTGTGATTAATCATTTGCCATTCACTTCCTCTTCACATCGACCACTCAAAATACCATGATAGTGCTATATGTTACTCAATTCCTTTTTCATCCTCCAGCCACGCGAGCGACCACCGCCTTCACAATCGCGTACAGTGAGGCGGCGCAGAATGGCCCTCACAAGATTTTCACTCACTATACACCTGACCTTAGTGAATTCGACTACGACAATGCCATTAAGAGTGTTCATCAGACCGGCATGTGAGTGAGGCAGTTACCATAGTCTAACTTTAGGTTTTACTACATACACTACATTACAAACCATACAGAAGGAAGATAATTAATTCCAAATGACTATATGTTCCTATTGATGTCATAGGCTCAGGATTGAGAAAAGCAAAGTACTGTTTGTGTATGTGTTAAAAGCCAAATCTAATAATTTAACAATTTAGTTAATTTAACAGTGTAGGGAGAAAACTGACGCATATGATTGCCGCAGGTGGGTGTACTACGAGAACGTGCAGTACAACCAGCAGCCCGGCAGAGTCTACTGGGTTCACGGGATCGAAATCTCTGCAGACTTTTCAAGCGATTATTCGTATATGGTATATGTATTTGTGTTTCCACGCTGCCATGAAGGCAATTTAGTCGTGCATGGTCAATACTGGTCTTAGATTAATGAAAACAAAGTTAAAATAGAGATTTCAGTTAAGGAGGCATCATCCGAAAACACATTTTCATGATTTCTACAATGTAGAATCTATTCTCTTATCGCTTTGAGTAATTCCTTTTACTTGCATTATTTGTAAACAACAGGAATGTCGACTATTGGATTATTTCAATCCGTTTTTAAGAGGATTATTTAAGAAATTAATAAGTTGATCATAGACAATACAATAAATCACAATCGTGCGTGAAAATGCACAAGATTTGGGCAAATGCGTTTAGGTCTGGCTCCC